TTCACAAAAACAAAAGCCTTCAAGCTTCATGGAAGAAAACAAAGTCACATACAAAGGTTCTACAAATATTATGAAGCAATTAAAAGAAAAAGTATCAGAATGGCTTAAGACTTCAACAATATTGGAAAACTGAAGACAGAGGAGCAAAATGATGTCCAAACTTCCACTCAGGTATAAGAGCAGAATAAAGCACTTTCAGACACACAAGTTCTCCAAACTTTATCTCCCATGCACTTTTTCTTAGGCAACAAGTAAGTGGAGGATGTGCTCCATCAAAATGAGAATAAAACCAAGAGGAGGACATGGGTTCCAGAAAACCAGGCTTCAACCCAAGAGGGAGTGATGAGATTTGCAAGAAGATTCCAGGCACAGTCAAGTCTGCAGCAGGTTGGAGGCACTGGAAGAGATTTATCCAAGATGAAATGATTAGAATACTGAATTTCATCAAATAAAAAAGACTGATTTTCTTGAAAGGAGACTCAGACAATTAGTGTAGAATTTGGGACAGACTTTTAGTGACAAATATATAGAAAACTAAGTAAACAGCAAGCAAACAAAACAAAAAAATTCACAATAACCCTAGAGAAAACAAAAAGTAATCCTATCACACCCTTTAGCCTAGCTGTGAAATGCAACATGTAGTCATAACATAAACCACAAATATTGAACTAACCAAATTAAGGTTATTCCTACTGAGGCAGCCACGAAGCTGTCTGCACAGAGAAGACAGAGGGTAAAAGCAAGCGAGAAACTTCTTACTCTCACTGTCAAGATGAAAAGGGAGTGAAGGGACAGAAGTAAGTAAGACAAGCAAATACACTCTTAGAGTTGTAGGTAAAGAACAAAAGAATTAACCAAGGCTAAAGTGGATCCTGTGCAGGGGAGAAAACATGACTGGGGGAATGATACTTGTATTTTTTCCTTACAAGCCTTCCTAGGATTGTTTGACCCTATAAATTACATGAAGATATAACCTTGATATGAAATAAAATTAATTTTCGATTTAAAAATTCATATGAATGCTAATAAAAAGTAGTAAGGGAGAGTATGCATGGCCAGCGAATTGTTACCAAATTAATAGCAAGTAACAACAAGTTGACTAACACAATGACATGATGTCCAGACATGTCTCCGAACAAGTGCCTGGCTCATATTTAATAGTATTCGAGGAACTTCAACGTTCCTGGTAAAACAATAGCCTACTACCAGGGATTTCACTTCTAACTGTCTCTGATATTAGAAATTAAAAAAAAAAAAATCTTGCTTTAACCCAAAATAACATGTAGCCAATTTTTATAATGTTATACACATGAAAATAATTCCTTTTAATTATTTTCTTCATTTCCAATTGTTGAATGTTGTGATGCTTTTACAATTTAAGGAAAAAGTATTCTGACACATTATACTGGCTGGAGTTCTCTGGCTACTTCTCTACTTAGTCAAAAACCTTCACATGCATCTTGGACTTTGTGTCATCATAACTTGGCAACTGAGAAGTCAACTGCATGCTGTTTCTTCCAGAGTTTGGTTATTGCTTAACAGAAAAGGGAAAAGCTTTCCTACGACCAACCACCTGCCCACGGGATGGATGCACACTGAAGGCGTCATACAACACAGAAATACCACTTGGTACTCTGCTCAAGTCAAGCCCTTTCAGTAGATAAGTTTCAGTTGGGAAGCACTAGTGGAGAGTTATCCCAGTAAACACAGTGTAATCATCTCACATCCAGTCCACATCAGAGTGTCTTAGATAGGACAGATTGAAGGGCATGAAGTCCTTTACTACACAGACTCAGTCAAGCGCTCTACCATTTGCAATGTCAGCAGTATACCAGATTCTCAGCCTGCTACCCATATATGTTATCAGTTATAAATGTCATGCCTCCTCTTTCCTACTTTTCCTATCTAGAACACTCCATCCTGCCAACTCCACTTGGAAAAATTCGTATTCATCCTTTAAACTCCAGTTCAAGGACCACATTCTTTTTTTTCTTTTTTTTTTTTTTTTTTGAGTTGGAGTCTCACTCTGTCACCCAGGTGCAGTTGCATGCTCATGGGCACCGCAGCCTCGACTTGCTGGGTTCAGGTGATCCTTTCATCTCAGCCTTCCAAGTAGCTGGAACTACAGGCTCGTGCCCAGCAACTTTTTTGATTTATTGTAGAGATGAGGTCTTGTCAAGTTGCCCAGGCTGGTCTCGAACCCATGGACTCGGGCAATCCTCTCACCTTGGCCTCCCAAAGTGCTAGGATTATAGGCGTGAGCCACTGCACCCGGCCTTTCTTAATTTTTTGGAGACAAGTTCTCGCTCTGTCACCCAGGCTGGAGAGCAGTGGTATGTTCACAGCTCACTGTAGCCTGAGACTCCTGGGCTCAAGTTATTCTCCCTCCTCAGCTTCCTGAGTAGCTGGGGCTGCATACAGGCACCACCATGCCTGGCTAATTTTTTTTATTTTTTGTAAAGATGGGGTCTCACTTTGATGTCCAGGTTGGTCTCAAACTCCTGGCCTCAAGGGCTTCTCCTGCTTTAGCCTCCCAAGTGCTGGGATTAGAGTCACCACAACAGGCCAAGAACCACATTCTTTATGAACACTTTCCAACAGGTAATCATTGCCTATTTCCTATCTTCATACCTTATACATATCTTCTATTATTGCACTTATCATATTATAATGTAGTTATCCTTTAACCAGTAGATCTCCCACACTAGACAAGTGGCTTGAGAAAAAGGAAAAAAGTCATTATTTTCTTTGCCTTTGCAGTTGCAAAATCCCTTAACAGTACCTGGTACATAGCAACTTCCAGTAAATAGTTTTTGAAGTGAACTGCTGAAGAACTGAGATGACACCAAGTCAGACAATTGGAAGATGAGAATAACAAAGACAAAGGAAAAATCCTTAATGATTCAAGAAGAAATTCCTCACCGGGTCACTGAGAAGTTAGCTTACCCACAGGAGAGGGCATTGTGACTGGAATTCAATCGTGCATGAAGGTGCTGAGACATGAGCTGACTGCATTCTAGAGTTGCTCTCCTTACAGTCACTGCACTTTTACCTGAGTGACATTAATTTGACTTAAGATGAAGCACGCCCCTAAATAGTGGTTTACACATAGCAGAATAGTAGTAATGGGAAAGTTTAATACTCATTATGAATTACTAACTTTGTATCAAATGCTATCCCTGAGACCTGAGGAAATACATTCCAGTCTCTCCAAGTCTCGGTGGCGCAGCCTGTAATCCCACACCTTTGGGAGGCTGAGGTGAGTGGATTGCCTGAGCCCGCAGGTTCGAGACCCGCCTGGGCAACTTGGCGAGACCTCATCTCTACAATAAATCAAAATGAGCCTGGCGAGGTAGCACGTGCTTGTAGTTCCAGCTACTTGGAAGGCTGAGGTGGAAGGATCGCCAGAGCCCAGCAGGTTGAGACTGTGGTGGCCGGGAGCGGCCACTGCACTCCAGTCTGGGTGACAGAGTGAGACTCCAACTCAAAAAACAAAAAACAAACAAAAAAAAACTCTCATGATAGGTTAACGGTTGTTTTAGACCCAGAGCTCTGGAAATTCAAATGATGGAAGCAATTCTTAACGAAGACCTTTCAACTACTTTAAAATAGTACTTTCAAGTATACTAATATCAAACGTTGTTAATGAGTTTGATTAGCTTGAGGGTACTTCCGGTTGTCAAGATAATCTAAATATAAACCAAGCACTAGGTTTCATCCAATGTTTCAGCATTCCAGGTTTGTTTTCATAAAAGAACATTAAGCTTATTATTTAGTGTGGCACTACCAACAGCCTTAGACACAATTCTAATTTTGACTTATTTAAAAGGGTTTTAAGAAAGTTATCTAAGAAAGTGACTGATTATCCTTAAGTAGACACCAAATAAATGTGAAGTCATTGCCAGAGGGCTGAGAGTACCAACAAATCTGAGGATACATAACAAAAGCAAAACTGAAGGGCAAGTCCTGCTACTGAAGATTCCGACTCATCCACATTTCTTCAGACGTTTGACCATAAATGTTGTTTAATAAACAAAACACAAGCTGATTTCTTCTTTGGTTTTACATGGCATCCAAACACCTTGTCAAGTCTCACCCTCTCACTAAGTCCATTGGGAGAGAATATACAGTAGTTAGCCCTAAGCACCTAATCATTTTTCAAAGAAGCTACGCACAAAAATACCCCCGCAACATGCCATGGTGTCAGAACAGCTCAGGTTCCCAACACCATGCCAGTCATCCATTAGAAACTCAAGAAGTGTTTCCTTTCAGCCGGGGGTAATCTAGGAAGGCTTCCTGTACGAGGGGTAATTGCGCTGAGCCTCGACGTGAGACTCGGACGTCTGCTGGGCCTCCAGGCCATGAGGGAGGGAGAAAAGGACACCCCAGGCCTGAGGCACAAACCGCGGGCCGGAGCCACCCGCGCCCGTCCCGGTCAGGCCGCAGCAGGGCACGGCACCCTCCCGTCCCTGAGCCACGTCGCTGCTAGCAGGCTAGCGGAGCACTCCCCAGGTCTCACCTCGGGACTCAGACCAGGAGGAGGAAGCTAGGGGCCGCGCCAGCTCCGCCCTCCCCGGCGGGGCGGCGGGCCCCAGCTCCGGCGCAGGAAGGCCACGTCCCAGGGGAGGGACGCCCAACTCGATGGTCCTAGAGGGGGCGGGGGGAGGGGGGGCTGCCGGCCCCACGTGACCGCGCGCAGCCAATCTCGGAGAGGCCCCGACCACCGAGACGACGGTAGCGGAACGCTAGATGAGCCCCGCGCGGCGGCTCGCCGACCCCTGCCCAGCCCGCTCCGGCGCTCCCGGCTCAGTGCTGCCGCCATCTTTTGGAGGAGAGAAGCAGAAGCGAAGGTTTTCCCTCCCCGTGATCGTTCCGCACTCATGCCACCACCTGCCCTCCCGCGACCGTCTCTCTTCTCCTCAGTGATCACCTGCCTCCTTCCAAAGAAACGCTCTTTCCCTCACTCTAGTTGCCCACCACAAGGCGAAGACTCTCATTACCTGTTCCACTCTTATTAGCGTAAGAAAACCAAGCTCATAAGGTAGGAACTGTGGCGAAGCTGGGACAAGCCGCCATCTTGGTAAAGGAGAAGAGGCTACGCTTGACCTCCCCTCCACCCCCGGCCTCTATATGGCCAACCGCCGTGGGAGGAGCACGGCGCCTGCGCAGAGGCGGACACCGCGGATGAGTTTGGGCCTGCGCACTCAGAAGCCGGCCACAAGGGGGAGGGGAGGAAGGCCAGCCGCGTTGGGCCAGGAAGGTGTTGGCAAAGGGGCGGGGCCGCATGGTGACGCAATTCTCCTGCGCGCAGGACGGGGCGGGGCGCAGGCCGACAGCGGGCGCTGGGCGGGTCGGCGGTTAGTCGGCGCCTATTCTCGGCTGTGTGGCGGGTGAGTGTCTTCCCGGAGGTTCCCGCCTCCGTAGGGGCACAAACTGTGCGCCGACCTTTCCAAGGAGGTGCGGGGAACGGTTGATTTACCCCGCCCCCTCGGGCGGTGGTCTGCCGGCTCGAGGGTGCGTGATCGGGGCGGATGTGGGGGAGGGGCATCCTGACTCTGGCTCCGCGGTCCCCTATGTGGGCCGCCACTACCCCAGGCTGCCGGGGTGCCCGCGAGGGCGACGTTGAGAGCTTCCCGAAGACAGGTAGGGCCGAGTGGAGATGCAGGGCCAAAGGAGTCCGGTGACCCCGTGGGAATTACACCGCACAGTTCTGAGCCTCGGGGCGTCGAGTGCCGTCAAGGCTGGGGAAGTTGGGGATGGATCTGTAGGAAAGCTTGTAGATTGTGTGGCCATCTTGTCCCTCTAAAGGTTAGTGCCATTTCATCCTGGAGGCGTGAAGGACGTGCCAGCTCCCGAGCCCTTCTGGACGCGACGGGTAAGCGGGGAGAGAGGGACTAGGCCTTATTTGTGCGGTGTGCCTTGTGAGGGGAGAGGAAAAAAGAGTTGCACCAGCGAGAGGGAGGGACAGCGGGTAAAGTACAGAGTGGGGAGGCCTCTAAGCAGGGCTGAGGTTGAGAAGCAAACCTGTGGCCAACGTGATCTCAGTTAATTCCCTACTCTGATAAGGCCCACAGTCCTAGACAACACCTGGCCTTCGAAAAAGAAGGCCTTCCTACCCCCTCACAGACACGTGACTCAACCATGCTGAATTTGTTCAAACTGCTGTGGTCCTTGGCACCTCTGGCCTTTATGTTTGGAACTTAGTTACTTCCCACTTCTCTGCCTTCTGTTCCTAATTCCTGCTCCCAGCTTGTGGGATTCAGCCCAGGTTAGATTTCCTCCAAGGCTGGTTTAGGTGCTCGCTTAATGTTATGGATGGTAACTGCCCACTAGACCATTACTCTTGTGGGGGCTGGCCACGTGTTAATTTTGTAACCCTTACCCATTGCCTAGCAGGTACCCCGCAATCAAACCCATTATTTGTAGGGCCAGCACAGAGTAGGTTCTCAAATATTTCTCGAGTGGCTCAAATCATAATATATATATATATATATATTTTTTTTTTTGAGTTGGAGTCACTCTCGCTCAGGCTGGAGTGCAGTGGCATGCTTACAACCACTACATCCTCGACCTTCTGGGCTCAGGTGATCCTTCCGCCTCAGCCTTCCAAGTACCTGGAAACACAAGCATGTGCCGCCACACCCGGCTAAATTTTTTTTTTGGTTTATTGTAGAGACAAGGTGTCGCCAAGTTGCCCAGGCTGGTCTGAAACCCGTGGGCTCAGGCAATCCTCTCACCTCAGCCTCCCAAAGTGCTGGGATTATGGGCATGAACCTCCGTGCCCAGCCCTCAAGCTATATTTAATGTTTCAAAATAGGTATGTCATCATAAGGAGAAAATGATGGTGTAGGGATCGTGAAAACTGTATCCTGATGATTCTGATTTGAGATTCGTTGTTTTCAACAATAGTTTTTGATAGTTCCCATTATGTGATCTTTGCACCACCCAGCATTTTTGGAGGTGATCTCCTTAGCTGTAAAGGTTGTCCTGACATTTTTCCAATTTCCACCTTTATCTCCCTAACCAGTGCCAAAACCCAGAATAAAGAACCGTAGTTTTTTTAAGCAGATCAAGTTTGCATTCTGACTGGCTCTTAAGGGGTTACCTAAGGAAATGGGTGTTGGACCTCCCTCTAGCATCATTTATAAATGTGATTCAGGTCCCTTTTTATTCTCAATACCAAAATACAGAAATTTCTGTGGAAGAAAATGTTATGAAATTTTTTAATGTTGTTTTGTTTCTGGAGGGAAGGGAACGCCAAAACTCATTGACAGCAGAATTGAGGTGAGATCAATTATATTATATAGTCTGTATCTCACTTTGTGCTAGTGGTCATACCTGTAATCACAGGAAATGGGTTTGATTGTGGAATACTGGCCCAGACTTTGTTAAGAGTGTTATGTGATATTCTGTACATACACCTCCTCAAATCCAGAGTCAATGCCAAAACCTTTCAAGTGCATTGGTTAGAGATTATGGACCTTCAGGGTCCTACATCACAGGGTCATTTTGTGGATTTGGGATAATGTATGTAAATACAAGAATAACATATGCTGATAAATGGTAGTTCTTGTTTATGGGTATTCCACTAATACAAATGTCACTGGCAAAATAAGTATATATTGCCAAAAATCCAGTTTTACCCATCTGTTCTTCATCTCCTGTCTTTTGTTTTGAGAAAATTGGTTTCTGATATGCATTGGGAGGAAGCTGTGGGTCAGGGTTAAAGAACTTTTAAACAACTTCTGACATCTGAAATAAGCACAATCTGAAGGAGTAAAGTCTTCACTTAACTCCATGAAGATTTTTTTTCCAATTCATCTGCACCTGAGTTTTAATTTAATCACAGCTTGACTGTTTGTGTTGCTGAATCAAGGCTTTCTCACTGAAAATCACATGCTTCAGAGGTTCAGTATTCCTCTTTGAATTTTCTTTCTATGTCAGTTAATAAATTATGAGAGAAAAATCATTGTGGATCCAAGTTATGTTTTAGAAAAAAACTGAATATGAAAGGAACAGGAAGTGGCAAGAGAAACTTGTTTAAATTAAAGCAAAGTTGAAATGTCAGTTTAAGATATACTTTCTCCATTTTCCCATACTTGCGCATGGAGATAGGTCTTGAGTGGTAGAGAGAATCAATCTCCTGTGAGACACCCTCAGCCACAATGAACAGAGAGAGGATTCTGGGCAGGCACCAGGTATAGCACTCTCGGGGTGCTTAAAGTGAAGTTGATCAGAGCAGATTCAGTGCCCTTTCAATGCCAGGGTGACCAGGAGTCCAGGGTTCAGTGAGGCTGAGAGTACAGGAGGGGTGCTCCATGATATTCCTGTGTTGTACTATGTGATTTGAAACCAGATACATGTAATAGCTGTAGCTGGTAAGGCAGATGCATTTATCCTATATGAACTTGAAGCTCATTTTACATTTTCCTTTAAGAAAAAATCTATACTAATTTGGGGAAAATAAAAATTATGAGGTTTTTTTTTGAGTTGGAGTCTCACCCTGTCGCCCATGCTGTAGTGCAATGGCACGCTCATGGCCACCGCAGCCTTGACCTGCTGGACTCAGGCAATCCTTCCACTTCAACCTTCCAAGTAGCTGGAACTACAGCTGCGCACTACCATGCTCGGCTAATATTTTTGATTTATTATGGAGACGAAGTCTCGCCAAGTTGCCCAGGCTCTTCTCAAACCCTTGGGCTTAAGCAGCCCTCTTGTCTCTGCCTCCCAAAATGCTGGGTTTACAGGCTTGACCAGTGTAAAAATTATCTGAGGCAAGAGGATTACCTGAACTCAGGAGCTTGAGACTAGCCTGAGCAGCATGGCAAGACCATGTCTCTACAGTAAATCAAAAAATTAGCTGGGCGTGGTGGCGCATGCCTGTGGTTCCAGCTACTAGGATTGCCTGAGCCCAGCAGGCTGAGGCTGCAGGGGCCGTGAGGCTGCCATTGCACTCCAGCCTGGGTGACAGAGTGAGACTCTGATTCATTTTTTAAAAATTATTTGATTCTTGTAGGACCTGTTCTCTGTCTTCTAAATTTGTTCCTACATATTTGGATTTTGTTTTTCAATAAGCGTCTATGTCACTCAGGCTGGAGTGTAGTAGTACAATCACAGCTCACTGCAGCCTTGACCTCCTATGTTCAGACAATTCTTCTGCCTTTGTCTCCCTAGTAGCCGGGACTACAGGTGTACAACACCATGCTTGGCTAATATTTTAAATTTTTTTATAGAGATGAAGTCTCGCTGTGTTGCCTAGGCTGGTCTTGAACTCCAGGGCTCAAGCGATTCTCCTACCTTGACTTCCCAAAGTGCTGGGATTACAGGTGTGAGTTGCTGCCCCCCCATCTCATGTTTGGATTTTTTAAAAACTATTGCAAATGACATTTTCCCCCCATTTCCATTTATTGTTATTCATTACTAGTATAGAAAAGAGCTTTCAACTTACTTGATAACTTGTACTCAGTCACCTTACTAAATTATTCTAGAATTTTTTAAAATCAGAATATTTGTTTTCTGTGTATTCAATTCTATCAGCAAAAAGTTTTTGTTTTCATTTTCTTGTCTCACTGCATTCACTAATCTCACCAAGGTAGTGTTAAATAACCATGGTGAAATTGCAATGTCTAAATTTTATTTGGATCCTGATTCAATTAAAAAAACAGTTGAGGAATATGAATACTGATTGGATATTTGATTACATTAAAGAACTAGATATAGATGATCATTTGCCATTTTTAGGAGTCCTTATTTTTAGATATGCATACTGAAATATAAATGAAATGCTATCTCTAGTATTTGCTTAGTAATAATCTGGAGTAGTGGTTGTAGGGATAGGTGAGACAATATTGAATTTTGAGTTGCTAATTGTTGAAGCTGGATAATAGGTGGCACATTAGAGTTTTATTCTGCTTTTGTATATGTTTGAAATTTTTCATGCGCTTAAAAATAGCTATGATAATGAGTCTGTGACTCAGCCTGTAATCCCAGCACTTTGGGAGGCCTAGTAGAGAGGATTGCCTGAGCCCTGGTGGTTCAAGACCAGCCAGGACAACTCGGTGAGACCTTGTCTCTACAATAAATCAAAAAATAAGCCTGGTGTGGTAGCGTGCTTGTAGTTCCAGCTACTTGTAAGGCTGAGGCGGAAGGATTCCCTGAGCCCATCGGATTGCCTGAGCCCATCAGATTGCCTGAGCCCATCAGATTGCCTGAGCCCATCAGATTGCCTGAGCCCATCAGATTAGATTGCCTGAGCCCATCAGGTCTAGGCT